ATGAGTTCTTGAATCATACTTTTCATACTACACATAAAAAGATTTAGACTTTAGATCAGTGTTTTTAGCGTTTCTTCTAAATTTTGCAAGTTGTTGAGGTTGAACATTTTCTTTTGCATAACTTTTGCCTTGAGAGATTATTACTTCGGGAATGCTTATTTGTTTTTGGTAGTAATTTTTGGGTGGCACATTATTTAATTGATTTTTGGGAAGTGTTCTCAGCTTTACTGCAACAAATACAGTGCAACCGCTATAGTTTGCTGTATGAGTTTTACCGCAATTGCTGCATTTTTTTTGCATTTGCATCTTCTTTGGGTTTTGGAAAGTAATAAATTGAGTGCACTTTTCCTATAGCGATTTTTTTGCGTTTGGCTCAAGTTCAGTTTTGAATATTAGTTGAGGTATTTGGTTTTTATTTTTAATATTAAAGATGGACTTTGTTTCAAACCCAGCTTTTGCAAAGGCTGATTTTATATCAGATTCCGGTACAAAATGTTCTATACATTTAATTACCACATTTAAACCTTTGCATCAAAGAAAGCATCAAAGAAGTATATAATTTTTCTATAATTAAATTGTCGTTTATTTGAATTTTTGTTTCATTGACATTTTTATCGCTGATAACGGATGTTATCTTGTTTAGAATCTCATTTGAAGGTGGTTTATATTTTTTGTTATTATTTTCAATATTCTGGTTTTCACCAGTTCACATCTATTTTTATTTAAGAAAGCGCGGTTTTCAATTAATTTTGTTTGTTTTGCTACTTGACTAGTTGATTTTGTCATAGGGCTGCGTTTACGCTTTGTAACAAGAATGTATCTATCCATTCCTTTCTGAATTTTATTGCCGTTGTCTTATTTGGTAGCATTTTGAATGTTGTATTTATGTTGATAGACTCATGTTAGTAATTATTTGTTGCACAATTTGGCAGTTTTTGATTGCAAACATTTTTCTGCAACATTTTCTGTTACATGTTTTTCATTGCCGTTTCGATATGCAACATTTGTTGATGAAGAATTTGGCAGTGAAGATCCATATTAAACACTCCACGAAAAAATTTTTGGCTACATATACGCTGTGAGAAGATCACAGCGCATATGCGATCTTTGCGTGTAGAAGAAGACGACAAGTTAATGAATTTATTTGTTTGTATACTTACACTCATTTTTTGCTTTTTTTACTTTGGCGCAATCCGTTCATTGTTTTATTTTGTATCAATATTAAAATTTGAAATAATTTAAAATTCACTTTCAAGCTTAAACAAAAAGGAAAGGAATTTTAAGCGTCTATGTATGAGGGTGTTATTTTGCGAATTTTAAATTTAAAGTCCCGCACTTTCTGTATTTAAATAGTTGAAAGCTGAACAAAAAAAAACGCGTCCAAACATTTAAACGTTAGCAGACTATCCGGAATACTTAAGGACATAGAAACACTTCAAAAGTTGATGAGCAATATAAGTGAACTAACAATAGTAGAAAGTGATTTTTTTACAGAAAGTACGAAATACATCTCAAAACTGCAAAAAGAACTTATAATAATGAAATTGACAGCCACAAAAGCTACGACATATAAATAGTACTATTTAAATCCAATTTGTGTAAATAATAAAATTTCGAATACTGTACCTAAAAATTTAAATTATAAAAAAAAAACTAAAAATGAAAAATGGTTGTCATTTATTGCGAATATTTTAATTATATGAATATTAATAAATCCAAATTAGATTTATTTGTTAAAATTGAAAAAATTTTTCGAAATATTTTTAAAAAAAAAATATAATAAAAAATAGTTCAATTTTTGCAGATATTAAAAATAAACGTAACGAACACACTTCAAGAGCATATAAATCTCATTCTGGAGTATTTTCAGAAATGGAAAATAAAAATCAATAATGAAAAAACTAAGGCTCTGTTTATAACGCGTAAGTGGAGACAGAATCTGTCGAGAGTGAGAGTGGGTGATATGGTGATAAACTGAGAGGATAGCGTTAAATATCTCAGCATCACGTTGGACAAACGATTCACATGGCTTAAACATGTTCAACTGAAAAGAATTAGCTGTGCGAAAATACTTCATTACCTCCAACCGCTATTTAGAAATGAAAACCTCAATGCTAAGAACAGGGAACTGATATATAACCAAATAATTCGTCCGTCACTTCTATATGGTTGTGTAGCGTTTAGCAAAGCTTCAAACACTACTATTCACCAGCTAGAAATTGCACAAAGTCAGGCTCTGAGAAGACCTTTCAAAGTTCCATGGTACATTAGGACGAATGATATCCTCAGGGACCTCAAGATTGATCCCATCAAAAAATACATAAAGGATAGAGCCCTGAAATTATTTGCGAAATCTGACAGACTTACTAAAACCACGTTATCAAATCTCAGAATGGTTACAAGCTCCTCGGGGAGGTATGCAGATCTGAGGTCAATTATTGCTTAGTCTGATGAAGTGATAAACAATAATCTAGTCAAGGTGCAGAAAAGGGGTTTTGAAGAAATCTCGAGTTAAAAAAAGAGTATAAGTGCTTAAGTGCACTAGCTCAAAACAGCTTCAACATAATAATTAAAAATAACATTTAAAAAAAAACAATCACAGAGGTATACATGAAATTTTTAAATATTGTTATTATTTTAATGTACAAAAACCAATTAAAATAATTGTGAAATATGTAACTTAAATACGATCATGATCCTATAAAATATAACTCAAATTAAAAAGCAAACATAATGAAATTGTAACAAAGATATTTGGTAAGCACAGAAAAACATAATGAACTTACTTAATATACTAAAAACAAACTAAGTAAAACCACTCATTCAGTCCAGTAGGTACGCGCATATATTTTACGAACAATAAAACTTAAATTTAGTTAATTTTACGTCTGATTTTCTTAACCAAAGATGTGGCGTAAAATTTTTTTGCGCAAAGGTTTACATCTGGTGTAAACAATTTCCTTAGACAAAGAAAGTGCCTTGGACAATTGTCCAAAATTATCATTAACTGATGAATAAGAAAATTGTAGATTTGGTGCTCAAGAATCGCCGAGTGACAATTAAAGATTTCGTCGATACTGTTAACATTTTATTAAGATTGCTCCAGACCATCAGACCCACATTTACCTATAGTACCACATCAACAAGATGGATCTAACTGATAAAAAGACATCGTGTCTGCCAAGAAGAGGATGAGACTTGGTCACATTCTCTATTATTTCCTGAAGCGTAAGTAGGATAACTAGGATACCAACTTTTTGGTAAAAATCAACTTTAATCATCAACATAGATTTTTTAAAATTAGTACAATCATTCCATCCCCTTTCTAACATTTCTAAACCTCTATTATAGAATGATTCATCTGTGATTGCGGTGATTTCTTTATCGGAGCCAAATCTCTTTTACTAGATAATTTATTTGAAGTCAGCGAACAGGAAGTAATCCCTGAAGACAAATGTGGCAAATACAGTGCGTATGGAAGAAATTAAAATATACGAGGGCGGTTTGATAAGTCAGCGACTTTTTGAATAAAAAAATTTCTACATAATCACATTTTAGCTCGATACATTTAGTCCAACGTTTTTCTAATTTTCTTATTCCCTCCAAATAATAGGTTTTCTTAAAGCTCTCAAAATACGTGTTTGTTTCGGTAATGACTTCCTCATTCGACTCAAATCTCTTACCGCCCACCCATTTCTTTAGGTTTGGGAGCAGAAAATAGTCGCAGGGGTCTTAATCTGGAGAATATGCTGGATGGGGTAGCAGTTCGCATCCAAATTCGTGGATTTTGGCCATCGTGCTTAATCAGCACACGAAATTCACTTTGTTCCATTTTTGTAAATATTCACGAGGTTGTCTGCTTTGAACGGCTATCAAACACCAACTGAACGACGTAGCTTGCTCAAAATTAGAAAGTTGCCCACTGGTAGACAACAGCTGACGGCAGCACTGTTGCATTTGTAGTAACTGCTCGGGAAATTCAAAAAGTCACTGACTTATCAAACCGCCCTCGTAGTTCATGTAATTCAGCGACAGATAGCAAACGACTTGTGAAACGACGCTTTGTCTTGATGGAAATTAACTTCCTTCTCCAAACGCATCAGACTATATAGCGACCGCTATTGATGATGTGGCATTTTTAAAGTAGTTGAACAAAATTCAACGCGTATCCTAAAACATGGACGTTATAATTTTGTCAGATTCTTTTGCATACTTGACTGCTTTGGGCAAGATTCGCTGGCTGCTGCCTATATACGCGATTCAACTTTGGAAGAAAGTGTTGATTTCGTCTACTGGTATATATTGACGAAAAAAGTTCTTTTCATTTCGCTTCAAAAAGCTTTCAGAATCGTCAAGTTCTTGTTCAACTGTTAAAAAACGCATCTAAAAGCAATGATAAATGATGGAACGAAATTGCTTTAAATCAATTGTTCTAAAAATATTATTTTTGACAACGAAAATGAAATAAGCAAAATGCATACGCAACAACCATACCGCACACAATACAAATGTGTGTGCACGCAGCTGTGTACAAGCGTGTAGAGTCGTAAGCACTTTTGTTGTTGCATTTTGCTTATTTTATTTTCGTAGTCAAAAATAAGCAATTGAAAATAGTCACAGCAATTCAAACCCTGGAGTAATGGTTGAGGTGTTAAAAATTGACAGGTATCATTTGAAAGCTGCAACAATTTTAAATTTATTGTGGATTTTTCATTCGTGATGCTAACAGTTTATTATCCAATAGATTTATCCGCCGATGTGTTATACAAAAACATTTTTTGTACAAGTTTCACACATCAAATCATTTATATTTTGCAAATTAAAAAAAAAATAAACATTTTTCTATATATTTATGAATTAATGAAAATTATATATAATCATCAATAAACCAATGTGAAATTAAACAAATTTTTTAATAAACACATAAACGCGTTTATTATTGTATTACAGAAAAAATTGATTTCTGCAATAATGCATTGGTGAAATTTATTTTATCATACCTGATCAATCTCATCAAAGAGATAAAATGGAGCTGGATCACATTTTTGAATAGCAAATATTAAAGCCAAAGCAACAAGTGATTTCTGACCACCTGACAATTGATTCATTTCTCTCATTTCCGCATCAATTCCAGTGAAAGATACACGAATACCAATACCGATAAATGCTTCTGAGTTAGCAACTTCTTTACCAATATCATCGCTTTCATTATCTTTTGTTTTTAAAATTAAATATCCTGCTCCTTGAGGTACAAGTTTTTTAAATACTTTTGTAAAGTTGTGAGCAACTTGTTTAAAAGTAAATTGAATGGCTTCAACCTTTTGCATTTCAAGAGTTTGCATTAGTTCTCTAATTTTTTCGTCTCCGACATCTAACTCCTCCTTTCTTTTATAAAGCTTTTCTTTTTGCTCTGAGAAGCTTAAAAATTGATCAAGTGCTTTTTTGTTTACATGATTATATTTTTTTAGATGTTGATTAGCCTTTTCGAGTTCTTTAAATAAATTTTTCAAAGACATTTTATTGTAATGTGGATCTAGTGCCGGTAATGCCCCTAAGCTTGCAATTTTTACAGTGCATTCGTCAATTTTTTGATTTAATAAATTCTCCTTCACAGCCCATTTTTCTGCTTTTTTACTATCTTCACAAATTTTTTCTTCAAAATCTTTTTCTTTTCGAACCCATGATTCTAATTCTTCTTGTAAGGACTTTTGAAGTTTTACTGCATCAGTCACCCTAAAAGAAAAAATAATTGTTTATGTATAAGAAAAGTCAGAATAAATATTTTAAAATACAGAATAATCGGAAATTTACATACTATTTCAAAACACTAATTTTTTATATTGAAATTTGAAGCAGAAAAAGTCTACGGACACTTCTTAATATTTACATTTACCATTAATTTAATTCCCTTGCAATCACAAACGTGTCATTAAATGATATTTTATTGTTAGTTGACCTAAAACTCTAAGAATTAATCATTTAAAAATATTATTTATATAAACAGTAAATTCTTACAATAGAAAATAAAAGAAGTGAAATTAGTGTTAATGAGCGACAAAAAACTGTTAAATTTTAAAAAGATGACGTCAGCCAACGAAAAATTGCTGAAGAAATTCTGTCAGGAGGCAAAAGACGTAGCATAATCAACCATGTGAAAGTAAATCTAAGAGTAACAGCCTCCAAACCAGCTGGACATACTGCCGAAAAACATAAAAAAAATATATCCTGATACTGTGCGGAAAATTTTGAAGAAAAGCAAGTTATATACCCAGGTTGCAAGAAAGAAACCATACATTTCCAGATAAAATGAAATAAAATGATTTAGCTTTGCAAGAAAGCATGTAAATAAAGCTATGAAATTATGAAAATGAGTTATTATCTCTGACGAGAGATAATTTTGCATATTTGGAATCAAAGTAGAAAACTTGTATGGAGAAAATCAGGTGGGAGATAGGGGAATGCCTCCCAGATATGGGTAGTAGGAGGAAAATCAAATATCTCCCACGGACGAAATAGGCCGGAGAAGCAAACTCCGTCATCAAACATGGACAGCGTAGAATCTCAAGCCGGCGGACGAATCAACAGTATGGTCAACGGCGCCAAGTTTCTAATAGTGTTTCTATTTTAGCGTCTGTTCATAATGTAGAGTGCGGCTGAAAGCGGTCGTCGGACTTGTAGCAAGCGGATCGCTATATAAACGTGTAAAACGCCGGAATCTCGCTGGGCCATGGCCCCATCATCCACCGCTTATGTGAATCTGTGCGTCAAATCAACAAAACTTCTACAGCATGAATTCAAACGAAAACGGAACAACTTCTCCAAGTGGTAATCGACATTCGAGTAATCCCCCTGCACTCGCTGCAGCAGGCACACCGGATTTGGAGGTGTCAAACCCATGCTTTAACAACATCGATAGTTTCGAGATAAACGAAACCAACAACAAAGCAAATTTGAATCGTATTGATAGAAGATGCTTAATGAGATGAAAATTATAACATCTGTTGCAAAATGGAATGTACGCACTTTAAATGAGGCTGGTAAACTCGAACAACTTAGAAACGAGATGGCTCGCTATAAAATCGACATTTTGGCGATACAAGAATGCAGGTGGAATGGTAATGGCTCGATCAAACACAAAGATAATTTGTTTATTTATTCAGGCGAACCAGAAAGATCTGCTCATGTTAATGGAGTAGGATTTCTTATATCATCAAAGATTGCTCATGGGATATTAGAATGGCATCCAGTCTGCTCAAGGATAATAGTCCTCAAACTCAAAACGCGTGCGCGTAACATGACTATTGTCAACTGTAATGCTCCCACAGAACTTCAAGTCGATGAATGCAAAAACGATTTCTATGATTAACTTGAAAGGTGTACAAATATGTATTCTTCAAACGGAAATATTCTTTTAGTGCTAGGAGTTTTTAACTCACAGATTGTGAGAAAACACCCATTTAGAAAAATACATGGAGTGTCACGGTCTGGGTACCCGAAACGACAATGGAAACAGACTTATCGAAATGTGCTGCGAGGCTAATCTGGTAATTGGTGGCTCCCTTTTCCCACACAAAACATCGCACAAAGCAACTTAGGTTTCTCCAGGCGGGAGATCAAAGAATCAAATAGACCACTTCCTAATTAATGCTCGATGGAGGGGTGATGAGATAGGCAGTGATCACAACATGCTGGTTGGCAAAGTGCGTATAAAAATTTCAACACGAAAGAGAGCTGTACAAGTGGCAAATAAAAGAATAGATGTTGGGAGGCTGAAAAACAACGATAGTAGGACTATGTACACAAAAGCTCTTACAAATAAAATCCAGTCTACTGTTTTCGAGAACGATATTAACGCACACATTGAAAGCGTTTCTCGCATATATAAGGATGTTGTTTTTGATATACTTAGGCGTAAAAATAAAACCAAAAAGGTCTGGATGTCGGATAGAACTTGGCTACTGATAGAAGAAAGAATTAAAACAAAAAAAAAGCGATGCTTAACGTTGAAAATATTGAAAGCGCTACACTTCTGCAACTTTGAAGCATGTATAAACAACTTTGCACATCAGTAAAAAAGTCGGTAAGACATGATAAAAGAGAATGGACAGAAAATCAAGCACAAATTGCGGAGTCTGCAGCTAACCTGGGTAATATGAAAGATCTTGCGTTACCTTCAAAATGTCATTTCAGACCAACCAACAAGATCTGAAGTTATCGCCGCCATAAAACTACTTAAAACCAACAAAGCACCAGACAATGACAACGTCAATCCCGAACTATATGGCTTCCTATTCTGCAGAAAATCTGGGAAAACGAAGCGGTACCACTTTCTTGGAATGAAGGCGTGCTCGTTAAGATTCAGAAAAATGGATCCGATTGTAACAACTACCGAGGTATCAATTTTCTTTGTGCGAATCAATATGGTTTTAGACGAAATCGATCTTGTGTCGATCTAATCAATACTGTCCGAATCGTGTTTGAACAATGCAATGAATTTAGGTCTTCCGTGTATGCAGCATTTATAGCCTTTGATAGTTTGAACAGACGGTTTATATGGGGTGATTTACGTCAAAAGGGCATGCCACTAAAAATACTTAACATCATCAAGTCCATGTACATTGAATTTAAATGCAGAGTTTTGCACGACGAATTGCTGTCTGACGCATTTGACGTGAGTACAGGAGTTCGGAGAGGCTGCCTCCTTTCACCGGTGCTTTTCATTCTAGCTCTGGATGAAACTTTAAGAAACTCGCTTGATGGACGCCATAGTATACAGTGGACACTTTTTCACCATCTAGAAGATCTCGAATATGCGGACGATGTGTTTCTGCTGAGTCACAGAAGCAGTGATCTGCAACGCAATGTAGACTGCCTAAATTGTAACGCCCGGGCAGCAGGCTTGGAAATAAACACGTTAAAACGGTTGTTATGTCCAGTGGATACTGCGCTAACACAGATCCTTTGATAGCTGTTGAGAACATAAATATAAATGTTGTACAATCCTGCACATACTTGAGCAGCGTGATCACTAACGTAAGCGAAGCAGAAGATGTTGCGACTCGTATAAATAAAGCTAATTCTGTATTTGGACAACTACAAAACATTTGGAGGTCAAATCAACTAAGCGTCAGAACAAAACTTCGAATATTCAAATCAAATGTCGTGTCCGTACTTTTGTATGGGTGCGAAATATGGTGGCCAGAACGCATCTCCAATGCAGAATTGTGGAAAAGAGCAAATATGCAAAGCGTCGAGAGCGAAATCAAAAAACGAAAATGGCAATGGATCGGACATACACTACGCAAGTCGAATTCCTGTATCGCTAAGCAAGCCCTAAAATGGAACCCGCAGGGTAGTCGCCGGCCTTCAAAAACATGGCGAAGGACAATTAATGTCGAATTAACATCAGCGCGCTACTTATGGAACGACATCTGCACGGTTGCACCAAATAGAATACGGTTCAGTGGAATTGTTGAGACCCTAAGCTCCACTGGGAATCAATGGAACAAAGAAGAAGAAGAAGATGGAGAAAATCATGTACAGCCTATGATAAACAAAACTTAATTTCAACAATTAAACATGATGGTGTTGGTATAATGGTTTGGGGGTCTTAAACTTAAATTAATACAAGATACAATGAAAAACATTGATATCTAAATATGTTAAAAACAAATTTGGAAGAAAATGACAGAATGTTAGGGCTTAAGGCAACCTTTTTGTTTCAGCAGGACTCCAAGCATGCAGCAGCGATTTGTACAGTACAGCAGCGTATTTGGCTGCTGTACTATGCTCTCAGACAACTTCAAACATTATCAAAATTACCAGACCTTAGTGCTATAAAACATCTGTAGGTTTATTTGGAAAATAAGATTCGTCAGCACACGATTTCCAGCAAGGGTATGTTCAGATACATCATCAAGGAAGAATGGCTAAAAATAAAGGCACACGATACTGCAAAGCTGGTTGAGTCCATGCAAAGACACCTAAAAGACGTTATTAAACGCAGAGGTTTCCCCACAGGCTATTAAATTTAAGATTTCTGTGAATTTTAATTGTTTTAATTTAAATATTAAGAAGTGTCCGAAGACTTTTTCTGCTTCAAAAATTGTTGGTTTTGCATATAATTGTATATAATTTTATTTTAAAGAATAACTGTTAGTTTTTTTGAGTAAAAATTAAAAAAGTTATGCGAAGTATAAGAAAAATTTTGTGGGTGTCCGTACACTTTTTTGCTATGTGTATGTCATTTCACAGTGTACAAAGTTTTATTTATATCCACATTAAAATTTAAGATATATTTTACAACAAACAGGAACAGTCACCGCTCTTTAAATAATACAATAATATAAAATTTTTTCATTTTAATATTCTTAATATACGATAGTCAGTTTTTTTATTTTCAAATAATAAATTTTTTTTAGAATTATTATTATCAAATATAATATATTTATATCATAGAAGCGGCAGTATAATATGTACCACATATAGCAGTCAAAAAAAGTATTCTTCATTAATTAAATTTTTGTGAAATGTTATAACAACAAAACGAAACAAAAAACTTGAAAAAAAAAATAATACGGTTTTCAAGGTTTGTATTCTGTTTATTTGTTTTAATTGTTTTTACTCCAAGAATTTAAAAATAAAAGATCAAAATAGCAATCCTATTGCGGAACACCAAAAATAAAGCAAAAAAAGTATTCGTCATTTATACAACAGGCTGCAATTTTGATAAG